GGTAGTCCTATAAGAAGCTTTGTTTTGAATCACTGTATAGAAGATTAGAGGAAGCTGTTTTCAGTTACCTCAGAGTAAGATAGCACTGTCTTCATTGTCTGGAAAGATTCATGTGGTTCACTTATATGGTTTATCCTTTCAATTATATATATCTTATTAATGAAACTTGAGGGAGCTCCTAAGTCTGCCAAGAACCAGATAGGAGCTGAGGAATACAAGGAAATGGAAGATTATTATGGTCCTTGAGATTCAGCAGTCTTTCTAAAATGTTTTTGTTTTTTCATCCTTGCTATAGTAGATATCAGTTTTCCTAGAATATGATTATTTCATCAAAAAGATTTTCTCTTCCACTTTTCAAGTTAGCAGTGGGTCTGTAACACATTCCCCACTTCTCTGGACACCTGAGGTCTTATAGACCTCCACTAGACATCTTTGTGAAATGTCATTGGTAGTTGCTGATAAGAAGATAACCAGGATAGTTCTTATTTAAACACTTTTTTTTCCAAAATATACTTGTTGTGATTAGGATGTTTATTATTAATAACTAGAAATGTATAGATTTATAAAATGCAAATGGCATTTTATAAATTGGCTAAAGAGTTAAGTTGGAAATATAAATTCCCTATCTACATAACAGAGTGTAAAAATTGATAAACTTCAAACTTGAAGGGTGTCCTCTGAAACGACATTGAACACATACTTTGTAAGATCTCCTCTGTTAATCCTAAACCAAAATACATTCTAGTAGGAAAAAGGCCCAGGGATGACACACTTTTATTTTATATAATTAATCAATTGTTGTTTTTCCTACTTGGTATCTACCAGTTCTTTCTATATTTGGAATAAAGGTATAAGTATTGCAAACATCTTCTTCCAATCTGTCCCTTTTAGCATAACTTTAATATATTTAGATCAACAAAGGTTCTTATCTATAATCAGGTTAGTCAAATTAATACATTTTTTATTTTATGTTTAGTATTTTCTTTGTAATCCTATAATCTTATATTTTATTCTAAGAGTTTTAAAGCTTTATTTTCTTCTTCCTTGATTTTTTATTTTTGAAATATTTATGTCTATTAAAAATCTCAGAAAGCATTACAGGGACCATCCATATACTCTTGACTTACCTCTAAAATTTATACCAAAGAAGAAACCCCCAAAACACTTTACTTACAAGTAAGTTTTATGATAACTTGTTGACATCTGGTCTGGAAAAACTACAAAAATATTTCTTGTCTTCCATTCATGAACATTTTTGAAGATTCCAGAACAGTTTTCTATGGCATGTACGATAAGCCAAATGCTTCTGATTGAATTTTCTTAGATCCTATCCAGAGGCAGGTGTTGGCTCATCATTGAGAATGCTCAGCTTTATCATTTGGTGAAGTTGGTATCTGTCCAGTCTCTACATAGTGATTATATCTTTCACACTTACAAAATTAATAATAAAGTGGAAGTAATTATTTTAATTAATAAATAAGCTTGAAGGTAATAATTTTAGACTGTATAAATCTTGGGGCCAACAACATTTCAAAAAATGGTTTAGACATTCATCAATGATACTTATCTAAACCAACTATTACACTGGTATCAACAAAATGATGTTTTCTCATTCTATTATTTGTTTTATATTTATTAATTGGCAATTTTCTTGAAGGAAGAGTTTTCCCTTCCTCTTCCTCTCCCCACTTTGTGTAGCATCACAGCAGACTCAATTTTAAGAAAAATAATAATATTGCATAATCCTTTGGAACCACTATTTCTTTTGTTATTCAAAATTGTTACAAATTTGGAAGACTTTCCAAATTGGCTTCAGTGTCCTTTTCTCATGGTACTGTTAGTTTTGCTTTATTGATCACACACTAAAAATATATATATATTAGGCTCACTTTGCATTTCTTTTGCCTCAAATTTGGAACAAAACATTTCTCTAACAAGCCTTACTAAAAAGTGGCATTTATAAACAAATACATTGGATAGGTATATCACTACTTCTAAGCCCTTTAGGTAGGAAGAGCAGGAATTTTAAAAAACATATTATTTGGGGTGAATGTCTTTTAAGATGGCATCCAATAATCTCTGCCTATTGATATTTATACCTTTGTTTAATCTGTTCCCCTTGAGTATGAGCTTGATTTAGTAACTCACTTCTAGGAAACAGAGCATGGCAAAGATGATGCTATGCCACTTCTAAGAGAGCAGGTTGTGAAAAGACCATGGCTTCTGTCTTGGGTGCTCTTTCTTGCTCTATTAACTTACTCATGCCGAGGTAAACCAGCTGCCATGTGGTGAGCTATTTTATGAAAATGCTCACATGACAAAGAGGAAAGGCAGACCTTCAGCCAACAACCAGTGAATAATTGAGAAATTCAGGATAATATCCTGTGATGAGGCACAAGAGTGAGGTTTGAAGCAGAATCTCTCATAGTCAAGCCTAGATGAGATTATAGTTCTCGCTGATAGCTCTGCTATAATGAGACCTTAAGCCAGAGATATCAAGTGGCACTTGGATTACATACAGGCTATAGAAAAATGTAGTAATTTTCTAAATTTTAACGCAATAATTAATTCAGGAATCCTGAGTACCCATAAGATAATAGTGGCCTCTAAAGTAAAATCTGTTTATACATTCTTGAAAAAAGAAAACCCAACATACAGATTAACAAAGAGATGAATTAAAACTGTGCATAAACTGTGTTTGTAACTAAGAATCAAGAAATACCACAAACACCAAATTTTATCTAAGTAGAAAAATGAACACTCATTCCAGTAGAACTAACTCCAGAACCCACGTTGACATAAAGAGTTCAGAGATGATCCAAAAAAGAATTCAGGAAAGCAGAGAGGTGATGCATAATGAAATAAGTAGGCAAATGTTTCAAGAAGGGGAGAATGGGACTCTGGTGACAAAATATTCATATGAGATCACTAGCTATTTGTGAATTGAAATGAACAAGTTTGACAGTGAATGGGAAAGAAACAGCTCTTGAGAGGCAGGGTTTTGAGAGACAAATATTTTTGTAGAAAGCAGATGTACTTCTTGGACACTTGTTGGTAAAGAAGGGGATAGGATGTGGGTTGGGAGCAAAAAGTGAAAGTTAATGATGTTACAGAAATAAAAGCCTGTCAAATAATCAGAAGATGCTATGATCTTTAATTCATGAAAAATAGCATTGCAGTTCACAATGCTAACAAAAGTGAGTGTACAGAACACACCTGTAGGAAATACAAGAAGCAATTAAAAGGAGTATACTAATAATAGTAAATTCTAACACTGAAACCAACCCAACAGTCCCATAGATACTTTTTTTGGAAACACATAGAAATTGACCTTTCTGGTCTTAAATCTTAAACCTTACGTTGGTTTTATCTGAGTTTGTTCCTCAAAAAATCAACCTTCAGGCCTCTCAAAAAACGTATCAAAGAACTGAAACTCTCCAGATTGCCACATACACACAATGAGATGCTGTACTCCTCATTCATCATAACTATTTCCTAGTTCTTGTCTTCTTACTCACTGTTACAGTTCTTCCCTGCTGTATAAACCCCGAGTTTTAGTCAGTCAGGTAGATGAATTTAAGACTGAACTCTCATCTCCTCAACTGAAGCACACAATTAAAGCCTTCTCGATTAAAGCCTTCTTTCTTGGCAATACTCATTGTCTCAGTGATTGGCTTTCTGTGCATTGAGCAGCAGGACCTATACCAAACCCCTGGTGTTTCAGTAACACAAAACAAGACAGATCTTGGAAAGGAATAGGACCAAAAATATGTGAGTAAATAAAAAACTGAAAAATGGCATACAATAATGTAGACTTACAATATTTTGAACTCTAGTCCTTTGATAGAATATATACCTTTTTTTAAAATGCATGATGACATTCATTAAAGTCAGCCACATATTAGTCACAAAAAATATTAATTACCATCTAGTAAATATTATACAGTTATGCCAACAAAGCTATATATCGTAAGAAAATCGAGCTAGATATTAAGAAAATTTAAAGATGACTTATCCCATGGAATTTAAAACAAATTTTTGATGACAGAAGATACAAATCAAAATTAGAGAAATATTAACAATATCATCATGAAGTTGTAGAAGTGAAGAGGATCTCTTTCCTTTCTCGTCTGAAACCTTAATAATTTGAATTTATAAAACAAGCTGACAATAGACAGATTAACAGGGACAAAAAAGCATACAAATTTATTAATGTGCATAAACAGGGGAGTCATATACAATGTATAAATTCAAAGAAGGGCCAGATAGTTGAAGCTGAAATACATTCTTAATAGGAGAGAGAGAAGACAGGGAATACAGGCAATTTTAGAGGGGTAATAAGTGATTTTAGAAGAAATGTATGCACCTGGAGATAGAAATTAGCTTTTAAGTATTAATAATTCTCTTTGTAAACTTAATGAGACCTTCAGACAAAGTTTCTTTGTGATCTAGGTATAATGTTTAGTTTTCAGCTTCTTCCTCTCTGATATGAGTTTTAATATAGTCTGGTTAATAAAGTTTCATGGAAGTGATTGAAGGCAATTGTGTTCCCCTTTGGCATGTCTGGTTTCTAGAGAACAGCTTTATACCATGCTTTGGGAGAGACAGAGGGTCAGAAAACCTTGAGGCAACTTCTGTAGTTCACCATGCTAAAGTGCAATATTTTAGAGTGTTGTGTCCCAAGCCCCAATAATACATATATCTTATTATATATAATAAATTATATAATTTATTTATCATATAAAATATATGAAAAAAGACTATTAACTAAATTAACCAGCTTCAGATGTATAAAGCACTATATCAAATAACCTCAAAGTATGTATTATTTTAATCTTTACATGGTATTTTTATTAAAATAGACCATATGTTTGTCATAAAATAAATCCCATAATTTGAAAATGATTGTAATTATGTGAGGTATATTATATGATAATGATACATTTTAACTAGATAACTTAAGCCATCTCCCACTATAGGCATACCTCATGTTATTGCACTTTATTGTACATCATAGATAATTGCATTTTTTACAAATTGAAGATTTGTGGCAACTCTGCATCAAGCAAGTCTGTTGGCACCATTTTACAGATCACATGTACTTCTATTGTGTCTTTGTATCACATTTTGATAATGACCTCAATATTGCAAACAGTTTAATTACTCTTATATTTGTTATGGTGATCTGTGATCAGTGATCTTTGGTATTGCCATTGTAATTGTTTGGGGCACCACAAACTCCACGCGTATAAGATGCTGTATCTAATTGATAAATGTTACATGTGTTCTGCCTGCTTCACTGACTGGCAATTCCCCATTTCTCTCTGACTCCTTAGGCATTGCTATTTCTTGAGACACAACAATATTGAAATTATACCAACTAATAACCCTAAAATGGCCTTTAAGTGTTCAAATGAAAGAAAGAGTCACACATCTCTTGGTTTAAATCAAAAGCTAAAAGTGTCCCCTAAGTAAGCTTAGGAGGACACATCAAAAGCTAACGTAGATTGAAAGTGTTAGCCAAGTTGTTTGTGCAAAAAAAAAAAAAAAAAAAAAAAGTTCTTGAAGGAAATTGAAAGTGCTACTCCAGTAAAGATATGAATGAATAGAAAGAAAAATTGCCTTAATTACTGAAGCGAGAAAGTTCTAGTGGTGAAGAGAGATCAAACCAGGTACAACATTCCCTTAAACCAAAGCCTAAGTCAGAGCAAGGCCTTAACTCTCTTCAATTCTGTGAAAGCTGAGAGAGGTAAGGAAGCTGCAGAAGAAAAGTTTGCATCTAGCAGAGGTTAGCTTATAAGATTCAAAGAAGGAGGCCATCTCAATAACAGAAAAGTGCAACATGAAACAGCAAGTGCTAATGTGGAAGCTGCAGTGTTATCCAGAAGATCTAGCTAAGAAAATTGATGAAGCTAGCTGTACTAAACAGTAGAATTTAGTTGTAAACAAAACAGCCTTACTTTGGAAGAAGATGCTATCTGGGACTTCCACAGCTAAAGAGGAAAAGTCAATGGCTGACTTCAAAGCTTCAAGGGATTGGTTGACTTTTCCTAGGTACTAATGCAGATGGTGACTTTAAGTGGAAACTAGTGCTCATTTTCCATTCCAAAAGTCGGAGTCCTTAAGAATTATGCAAAATCTACCCTGTTTATGCTCTGTAAATGGAACAATGAAGCCTAGATGATGTAATATTTTACAGCATTGTTTACTGAATATTTTAAGCCTACTGTTGAGACCTACCATTCAGAAAAAAAAAGTTCCTTTCAAAAGAGTACTGCTCATAGACAATGCACCTGGTCACCCAGTAGCTCTGATGGAGATGTGCAAGGAGATTAATGTTTTTTTAATGCCTTCTAACAAGCATGTATTCCGCAGCTCATGGACCAAGTAATTTTGACTGTTATGTGTCATTACTTAAGAAATACTTGTCATAAGGCTATAGCTGTCATAGATAGTAATTCCTCTGCTGGATATGGGAAAAGGAAATTTAAAACCTTCTGGAAAGTATTCAGCATTCTATATGCCATTAAGAACATTTATGATTTATGAGCAGTCCAAATACCAACATTAATAGGAGTTTGGAAGAAATTGATTTCAACCTTCATGGATGATTTTAGGGGTTCAAGACTTCAGTGGAGACAGCAATTGCAGGTACAGTGGAAACAACAAGATAACTAGAAATGACCCTAAAGATGTTATTGATAGCAATTATGTAAAAAAAAAAGAAGAAAAAAACAAAAAGATGTTATTGAATTGTTCCAATATTTTGATAAAACTTAAGTAGTTGAGGAGGTGGTTTTTATTAATGAGCCAAAAAAAATGGTTTTATTCTTGAAATGGAATCTACTCCTGGTGAAGATGCTATAAACATTGTTAAAATAACAACAAAGGACTTAGAATATTACATAAATTAGCTAGATGGACACAGTGGCTTATGCCTGTAATCCCAGCACTTTGGGAGGCCAAGGTGAGTGATTACCTGAAGTTCAGAGTTTGAGACCAGCCTGGCCAATATGGTGAAACGCCATCTTTACTAAAAATTCCAAAAAAATTAGCCAGGCATGGTGGTGTGTGCCTGTAGTCTCAATTACTTAGGAGGCTGAGGCATAAGAATTGCTTGAACTCATAGGCAAAGGTTGCAGTGGGCCAGGATTGTGCCACTGAACTCCAGAATAAGACTCCATCTCAGAAAAAAAATCACATAAATTTAGTTGATAAGGCGGTAGAGATTTGTGTAAAGTGAGCCTAATTTCAAGGAAATTCTATGGTGGGTGAATAAAACACTATCAAACAGCATTACATGCTACAGAAGTATATTTTGTGAAAGAAAATGTCAATCAATGCAACCAACTTCTTTGATGTCTTATTTTAAGAAATTGCCACAGCCACTCCAACTTTTAGCAATTACCACGCTGATAAGTCAGTAGCCATAGATATCAAAGCAGGACCCTCCCCCAGCACAAAGATTACAACTTGCTGAAGGCTCAGATGATTCTTAAGATTTTTTAACAATATTGTTTAAACTAAGGTATATGAATTGTTTTTGTAGACATAATGCAATTTCATACTTAACAGACTACAGTAAAATGTAAATATAACTCTTATATTCACTAGGAAACAAAAAAAAAAACATTGTGTGACTCACCTTATCATGATATTTATTTACTCTACTGCAGTGGTCTGGAACAAATCTCACAATATTTCAGAGGTATGCCTATATTTGGAAATTAAACAGTATAGTTCTTCGTCAACCAAGGATAAAAGAAAAATCTACAATGAATACAAAAAGTACTTAGAACCAAACATTAATAAAAATACAACATGCAAATTTACGTTAGATGCATCTAAAATAGTACTGAGAGAAGTGCACGCTCTAGATACATATATCGCAAAAGAGAACACATTTAAAATCAATAAACTAAGCTTTCACATCAGAAGAGCAACTTAAAGCTAAAAATTATAAAAGAAAAATTAATAAAAGTTTACTAGAAATCAATGAAATAAAAAGCTAATGATAGAAAAAGTAAACAATAAACTTTTGCTTTTCTGAAAAAAAATTAATAAAATTGATAAGCATCTACCAAGACTAAACAAACATGAAAGTGGAATTTGAGAATAGCAGAAGTGAAAAAAAAACACCTTTACAGTTCATGCATATCTTAAGAGAAAAATAAGTCAACATAATAAACAAAATTTTGCCAAAAATTTAATGAATTAGAGTAAATGCATAAATTTCCTGAAACACACAACTTTCTTAGACTGAACAAAATGTAATAAAAAATCTTAATAGCCTTTTTTCTGTTAAAAATTTTAATCTCCATTAAAAAATCTCATGTACAAAATTTTATTCTCAGATGATTTAAATAATCCATCAAATGACTAAGGAAAGAACTAAAGTAACTCTTAGAGAGTAAATGCTTCTTGAATTGTGTTATGATGCAACTATAACACACATAATACGACATGAAAAAGATTGAAGAAAATGTGAGTCCAATGTCACTGATGAAGGTAGATGCAAAGTTCACAAATTATAAGCTTAAAAAAAATAAATCCAGCAATATATAAAAGAACATAGCTTGAATGATTGTGATCATCTCAGTTTAATCTTGGAAAATAAATTGATATAATTCACATTGTTAAGAGAAAATGTGAAATAAATTAAATCCTTATGGTATATAGAAGGAAAGATGGGAGAAAAACTTCATCTTCCACGTTCATAGGAAAACCCTGTGTAGGTAACATTTTCTTAGGTAACAAACACACAGAACTGTTTGTAAAAGAAAAAAAAATAAATAAATTGGATTTCATTAAAATTTAACACTTATCAAAATAAACTGTAGAAAGTCAAAGTGGCAAGAAGGAAGTCTCTCCTTGGCATGTAACAGTCTTTTATCTTGTTTTGGGAGATTACACAGGACTATACATTTTCCAAAATTTACAAAGGTGAACACTTTTTTGGTGCAACTTTTTGGTATGTAAATTATAATTCATTTAAGTGCTGTTAGCACAAAGTAAAATTTAAATATCCCTTATATTCAAAAGAACCATTAGAAAACACAATGGTAGAAAAAAATCTGATTTTTAATAGTATTGAAAAAAGATAAAATTAATTTACCAGTATATGCAAATTCTGTTGTTGGCATATTTTTGAATAAATGGAAAGAGCCTTGCTATTAGATAGGCTGCTTCACTCATTAAGTTTTTGTTTTATTCTAAGTTAATTTATAAATTTTATGTAAGCTCAAGAAATATCATAATCATTTTTCAGAGTGATGAGATAGATGACTTACTATTAAGTTGATACAGAAAAATAAACATTTCAGAGTTAGTATAACAACCCTCAAGAGGAAAAAAATACTTATGAAGTGGGACTAGTTCTTCTAGATGTTTAAATATAGCAGTAGCCCTCTTCAGTTAAAATAGTGTCACACTGGTGCGTAAACATATATACTAATCAGCAAAACAGGATAGTAGTTTAAAATAGATTTGAGCACATGAAAATATTTGCTATATGATATGAGCCACAAGTAAAACCATTATAGAAAAAAATGATTTAAATAATATATAGCATTTGAATAACAAAAACTGCTTGGAGAAATACAGATGTCAATCCATAGGTTACATTAAAATAAACTCCAAATTAATATCTAAGTTTTATTTATTTATTTTTAACTTTAAGTTCAGGTACATGTGCACATTTATTACATAGGTAAATTGTGTGTCAGGGTGATTTCATATACAGATTATTTTATCAGCCAGGTAATACAACAAAGTACCTTATATGTAGTTTTTTGATCCCCATCCTCCTTCTATCCTCCATCCTCAAATAGGCCCTGGTATTTGTTACTCTCTTCTTTGTGTTCATATGTAGTTGATATTTAATTCCCACATGTAAGTGAGAACATACAGTATTTGATTTTCTGTTCCTGCATAGTTTGCAGAGGATAATAGCCTCTAGCTTCATACACGTGATGCAAGTGATGTGATCTCATTCTTTTTATGGCTGCATAATATTCCATGGTGTATATGTACCATATTGTCTTTATCCAGTCTCTGGTTGGCAGGCATTTAGGTTG